TTATTTTTTTTTTCAAGACCAAAATGTCTTTCTTTGTTTGACTTGGTCCTAAACAAGTTGTAATGTTACAATGTATAAATAAACAAAACTGTGAAGAGTTCTTGAATGTCTTTTAGAGTCTCTCTACAAGTTTTGCACATTTAAAGCCTGAGATTTTTATCCATTTCTCTTTACAAAAAACTTGAGCTAAGACATGTTTGGACAGCATCTGCGGACGTCTGTTTTCAAGTTAGATTTTGGCCTGGACTTTGACTGGTCCATTCTAAAACATTCCTTTGCTCTGAACACTAAAAGGTTTCTTCTTCATTGGCACTTGCAGGTTTGGTCGTAGTTTTACAAAAAAGTCAAAATTCCCAAGAATTTGGAGTAAAAAAGATGGAACTTCACAACAACTCAAATGTCTAAATCTAACATGGCCGCCTGAAATATTTTTACTCATGAGAGCAATTCTGAAAATGTAGGATTTAAAGAAGTTAGAGTGTCAATGCACTCCACACTTTTTAAGATTTTAATTTGTAAACATGTTTTAAGAATTCCTTAATTCTCCTTCATGTTGGTCTGTCGTATAAAATCCCAAGACGTTTGTGGTTGTAGCATCACAAAATATAGAAAAGTTAAAAGTTAAAGTGGTGTGATGTATGTGACTTTTACAAATGACTGCATATCTTCCCAACTCATGCTGCTCTGCCTCCTAAATGTCACAAGGCTCTCAGTCTCATGACAGAGCTTAGACCATAAAGATAGAGTAAAAAGCAGAGAACTGATAACCAAGCTAAAACGTTACGTAAGTCATATTTATTTGCTTTTGTGGACTCAGTCTGTCAGTCTCTTGCAATAGTAAACAAACATAGCTTACTTTAAGAAATTAAGTCATTTAGTTTACAGATGTTTGATATTTGAATGCAAAACATTTAAAAAAAAAGCCACAAGAATTTTCTGTTTAATTAAAAACAGAAATAGAGATAAATAAGTGCTTCTGCTATGACATACATGCCTCAACTATGGACCAAAGCTACAAAAGAGCAAAAAATGAGACTGCAACATTGTCTGATTATTTCAAAGTGCTCACATCTTTATTCTCCTCAAAAGGTCCCAAAACCTCCAGTCCACACTGTGAGATTTGACTGTGTGTTAACAAAGAGACGTTGACTCAGAATGAGACACCTGGCTGTTTTTAGAGGGCTGCTGCCTCTACCTCTGATCTCCTGTTTCTACGTTATGATTATTTCTGCAGCTATCAAGATGATATTTGATCATGATGTATAATTTTATCTTTGTTGAAGCTCAGTCTAATTTTACTTCTTGCTTTGCAGTCAGGATGCAAATAGCTCATATGATTCCTGAAAACTATCTGGTGTGTTTTTCAGTTTTATGCAGACAAACTGAAACTGAAAGAGCAATAAAAAAAGACAACTATGTTGATTGTTATCTAAATATCTAATTTTAGAAGAATTTAGTGTAATGTATTACTGTTTGAGTCTCCTAGAGGGGTAATGCCTTACTTTCAAAATGTAAACCATATAATCCTGATTAAATCCAGAAGAAGAATCACATTTGAAGTAACGGAACGTAAGTGCGTAACAGATGTTCTTCAGCTATCTCAGTTGTTGATGATCATAGAAAACGATCATCAGCTTTTTACTAACTCTAAATTGATTCCATTTGAGGAGGAAGTGTGCTTGTGTTTGATTTGCTTTATTGCAGATCTCATCAGATTTGTCACTGAATGTCAGCTTCCTGCCAATGACAACACCTCGATACTTAAACCACTAAAAGATTCTGCACTGTAATTCAGTTTTAAGCATAAAATACTTTAAACCTACCATAAAATCCTCCAGCTGACCAGGTGGGTCATTCTCTCTTTGCCCAGTCAGCTGATAACTTCATCTGCAATGATTTCTGTAATTGTTAGTGTACATGACATACAATAATGGAAAGAGAATAAAACCCTGAGGATACGACTCATATATGCTGTCATCAATCCTTAGATTGTGTTTTACAGCTCATTGCAATGGACTTCATTCTGATACACTGTTTAAAACACAAACCTCCGTGTATTTTATTGGGATTTCATGGGATCATTTTCATAAACGTGATATCAAAGCAAAAAGATTTTATGTTTTTAAAAGAAATCCTGACTTTAAGCGTCTGAGAAAAATGTTTTTTTTTTTTTTTCAGTAGCCCTAATCCTCTTACGTACAAATAAAATCTAAAAAGTGTGGTTGTCAGAGTTGACACCTATTAAACACAGCAAATAACACAGGAAAGACGAGAAAGTTAGATTCTGAATACTCGTGAGGAGAACAGACAGAGATGTGCTTTCAGTTACAAATCTCCTGCTGCTCTGAAGCACATTTGCCTGCCCCTCTTTTTATTGTCTTTAGGATCCCTAATCACAGAGAGCGCTGTACCTCTAAAGGGAGGGGGGAACACTTCACACAGTTACAGCGCCAATGGTTATCACTAACTAACAACACAATCTGTCTTGATCTAGATTCTCCAGTTCCTGACACAGGGTCAAACAGAGCAAGTTGTACATCTTCACACATGCAGCTACCTGAGAGGTCAAAAGCAGGGCGTTCTGTGAGGAGCTGCTGTCACTGCTCTGATTCAGAGAGGCCCTCTGAGAAAGGAAATCAGAGTGATTAGCAATACAAAGCATTTCTTAAACAAGTAAGAGCACATAAACTAAAAACAGCATAAAAAATAGTTGATAATAATACAATTTACCTAACAGTGGTGTACATTTATTTGCTACAGCTGCTGATTTTTTTGAGGTTCATCTCTATCAGGATTTTCTCCTGTGTAGGAAAAGCATCCCCCACAGGATGATGGTGGCACCACCGTGCTTCCCATTGAGATAATGGGTTTATGATGATATGCAGTGTTAGTTTTATACCGCACATACCAAAAAATAAATTCTGGTCTCATCTGACCAAAGGACCACATGGCTTGTAGCAGGCTGGAGGTTCCTGTGGTTCTTCACAGCCACCTGAAACCCGACCTCTCAGATTACTTTGGTACATTTGCAAAAATCCTCTGATGTTCAGATGATGGATTAACCAGAGCTCTGTGAGATACTGTTTCAGAACCTAACTCTGCTTTAAATAACATTCTCTCTGTTCTGCCTGCTGTGTTCCTTAGTCTTCATGATGATATTTGTTCACTAATATCCTCTAAGAGGTCTCCACAGAACAGCTGCATTTATAATACGGTTACATTAAACACAGGTTACTGATTAGGTAAACTTCTGGAGGTAATTCTCAGATAACTGTTGGCCATATGGTTCCCAGTTTATGAAAATTTTGTTTTCAACCAACTGCAATCTGCTGAGTAACTATGACCTATAGAATGAGAAACATCACAAGTGTGTTTATGTGTGAAAGCACGGCTGGAGTCACGAGCAGCTCTGCACGACGCTGAGGGTTGTGACTGGTCTGGAGTTCTACCAATCATTTACTACACCTGCAAAAGCAAGTCAGGAGTCAACGCAGTTGCAGATAGATTAAAAAAAAATTACATTTATTCTGTACAGTTTCGTGGATCAAAGGTTTATATAAACGTGGAAGTGGTTGGAGAATGTGTTTTAGGGCGTCTCCACACAAGCTTAGGGGAAATACTGAGTTTGTTCTCCGAAAGCAAAACTGAAACTGGCAGCCAAAGAAGAATTTACGTTCCCGTAATTTCCCCTTCCTTTTATGTTGTCCAGCACATGGTTGACACATCATATATGTTCCTCAATTAATAACTGGCAACAATTCTTTTTTTTTACCACTATTAAAGTTTCTTAAACAAATTCCCCGTTCTTATTTTAAAGCTATGTAAAGTGAGTTGTTTTTAAAAGTGAACATGCCTGTCATATCATGTGACTTCCTCCACTGAATGATCATATGACCCGCTCTGTTGCAGGTGTTACATCTCAGAAATTGTCTGACTGTAAACTGTGACCAAAACTAACTGGCAAGTTATTCTCAGGAAATGCTGGGAACTGTTGCCAAGAAAAGTGTAAATGTCACTGGTTTGATTTTATGACTCATTAATTTATTTTCTCACTTCCCAGACTGCAGGCAGTCAGCAGGATATTAGGACATAAAATAGCCATTTATTCTAATCTCTTATCTATCACTGGAAACCTATTTGAATTGGTTTATGACAAAATATTGTTAAGTCAAACATTAACACCACTATATAAACGACAGCATTTCACAGTGAAACAGGGAACACAGTAAAAGACATTATCATAATTTGATCTAACGCTTGCTGTGTTAAGAAACCACCAGGAGATGGCAGCATTTCTCAAGGCATCACTTAAACAGTATACGCAAACTCTCATCTACTGTATATCGATCTCTAAATTGATCAATTGGCAGGTTAGATCACTTATAACATTTACTGTAAGTAAAATAATCTGTCAATGGAACTAGTACTTTTTAATCTGCCAAGGAATTTATGACTTAAAACAAGCTCGAATATTTTGTTGAAAAGGTACTTGTAAGTTTGTTTTGTCTTATTTCAAGTATTCTAAGATATTTACATAAAAATCTAGGCAACAATTACTTGGTAAAATTTTCTGTTTTTGCATTATAATTCGATCTTGATCAAACATCTTGAACACGTCTTCCTAATAAAGTGTATATTAAATGTGTACTAATAAAACCAACACAAATTACCTTAATGCTGAGAACTCAACAGTAATTTTAACAATATTTTACATCTAATAGTTGCAACAACTTACGACTGATCAGAGTGCAACGCAAAAAGTGCTAACTGTTGCTTTATTGTGAAAACACCAGAAGATGGCAGCATTTCCAAAGCATCACACACAATATAGATCCGTTTAGAAAACACAAAATTTATATTAACATGATTTTATCTACTTCCTCTCTCAGATCTGTTAAACTGAACCAATCAGATTGAATCTCAGGAATGAGCAGCAATGAGCAAACTGGAGTGGGGAATTTGTCCAACTATTCCTTATAAGTAGTTAACTTGACTTTATGTGGGGTTCATTGATGGCTCAGAAATACGATGTAACAAAATTTGTCACACCATGCTGGACCTCTTGAAGGATCCAGAGCGGAAAGAAACGTCCCTCTAATAAAGCAACGATGTGTTTGGAATTGGAAACTAAGAGGGAAAGCTGTCTCTTGTAAACTCGTCTAATTTCATTACCCTGCATATCTCCTCAGCTTAGTCATTCACACTGTTGGCAGCTCTCACACTGCGAGTCAGAAATAATGTATCAGCCTCTAAAATGCGGCAGTAGCTTGGTTCAAGCTTTACTTTGCATACTGCGTAATCTGATTATTGGATCAATAACAGAGCAACATTTGAAGCATTGCTCGGATAGCTGGCTTCTTCTCACATTGCACATTGCTGGCATTCAACACTCGTTCCCACTTTATAGGTGACAAAGTGTGAATGTGAGCAGGAATTCAAATGGAAGGCCTTTTAAATGAGATGAATCTGGAAGCAAAACCTCGATCACATCTGGCTCTGCCACCGTCTCAGGGACAAACATCTGGGCTTTCCCTGAATTTGAGAAGCTGATCTGACATCTTCAGTTTAGCATAAGTTGATTACGCTAAATTAAATATTTTCTAACGATCTTAATCAATAGCTTGTCACCTTATTCAATTATCAAAAATACTTACAAACACAAGACATGGACAATGTTTATGTGCACACAATAAACACATTTCCAAAGAACTTATTGTAACTTGTTGATTCTACTCATAATAAAGTCATATCTCTTTATTTTAATCTATAAATTGACTAAATGTAGCTCCACTTGTCCATTCCTGAAGCAGTAAGTAAAAAGTGACACTGGGCAGAAGTTAATCAAAGACCATTTCTTCAAACGTTTGTCCTGCAGAAAGAATGTGATTTGAACAAAACTTTAGCTGGAAAAAGTATTTGTGTGTGCTCAAAGAAACAATTGGCAAAAACACTTTCGTGAAACATGAGCGAGTTTTGAAGGAAAATACTAGGAAATGAGGGACAACTAAAGCCTTTTGCATAAGCATGATGACTGTAATCATTCAGGAGATGTGGTAATTAACCATAAAAATATTTATTGACAATAAAATTTTCTTGGACACAAAAATGAGAAATAATTCACACATGGAAAAACCCCAACATATTCAAGAAGTCCAAATTCAAAACCACAATAAAAGGGGGAAAAAAACTGAAATTTCGAACTAAAATGGAACATCTTCATATTAAAAATCCTACCTTCTCTGAGAGTGTTCGTGGATAAATATGATCTGACAGCATTTGAAACGATATCCTTGAGAAACTACACCAAAACCACATTGCACTGGCTGATCTATAACTGTCCACTTTTAAAAACATCAACTGAACCACAAGAATCTCAGAACACTGGCCAAGCAATCATATTAAAAATAGACATTAACACTGATAAATAAAAACACTTTATTTTAAAAGAAATGGCTTTTTAAAATAAAAAAGGCCCTGTGATGACTGTCACAAAGCACTAACCTCCATGAATTCTGCTCTTGGATATTGCTGCACATTGCATTTGTGAAATGCAGATAAGTGGATAATGACAGTGACCGTAGCAACACAGAGCATGAGACTGAGATAACCAGGAAGGTTGGAAGAAATCCCTGCTCGCTGTGATTCATCCCGGTACCCCTCTGTCTTTTTTTCTTCCCCGAGCTGCAAAAGTCTGCTGTGATCCTGCTTCCCAATCCAAACAGGTCACCGTGGCCCGCATCCTGCCAGAGCAACTGGATTCAGAGTGGAGGAGAGATGGAGGAGAGGGAGCAACGATGGTGCACATCACGGCCAGTTCAGATGCTGGGCCTCTCTCCCTCGTTCCCTCGCTTCTTTATCTCCATGGTGCACACACGTCGACCTGGAGCAAGGCCGTGTACTGGCAGGGGAGGCTAAAGGCAGAAAGACGGGGGTGGGTGGATGGGGAAGTGGTGTGTGAATGTGTGGGGTGTGGGGTGGGGGTGAAAGGACACAATGCTTGAAAAGCAGAGCAGATCCAGGGACTAATTGGGTCTGGTAATGGCAGGTCAGTGTTACTGAGGGGCTCGTTAGAACCAGTACAGCTCCTTGCCTTTCTTGTGCTGCTGGAGGCCTGAGGAAATAAAAAAAACATGGGAACAATGAGAAGGACAACAGTGAACGGCAGAACACAGGTTGTCATGGAGCCTTCTATGGCCAAACATGCTGGTTTAGGCGGCTGAAAAGAGCTTCTGTGATGATTATGATGTGTTGTGTGTTTCTGTATGCAGGTCTGAACATGGAGGAGGGGCGGGGGGGGGGCGGAGAGGGGGCTGAACCAGGAGCAAATCAGAATTGATATTAACCTGATAGAGTATTGATTTTTAAACTATTGATGATCTTGGTCAAACCTATTTATAAGACTTGTAGGCCATAAAGTGAGAGTTTATGATGAGACATGATGTTTATGAAAACCCTCAGTTCTCAGTTCAATCTGCATTTAGTTTAACTTATTGTATTGTTTATTCATAAATTCACAGTTTATCTTGATCATTATAAGAAACATGTCACAAATGCATTTAATCTTTTGCATCTGCTTACATTTATAGCTTATATATAGCTACAACAGATGTCACCACAAAATACTTTAGAAGACGTCCAACTCATATTTAAAAAATAATCCCACCATGTAGACGGTTTAAATACCAGTGATAAGGATTTCATTTAATTCCTAGTTATAATATAACGCAGTCAGATCATGTGGCGACGGTGGGCGGGGTGGGGGGAGTTAGGCTTTGTTTCACAGGAGAAACCTCCAGAAAAACCAGAAACACATCTAAAAAATAAAACTGGTGTCTAATTGATTGATTGGTTAATTGATTGTATCATAGGTGGTGTAAAAGGTGGCATATTAAGAATAAATTCATTTTCATTGGTTCAGAACAGTGTGTCCTTTATGGTGTGCATAGTAAAAGCTTGTACATTTTAGAGTTTTAATATTGCATATAGATATCTGTTTTCAAGTTGTTTGATCAGTTTTCTTGAATTTATTTATGATTTTACTTTCGTGCTACTGGGTGGACTGGGAAAAAGTAATATTAAACTGCTCCAAATCTATTTTAAGATTTGAAAAAGCTTCATTTGAAAATGGATTAGTTTATGGACAAATAAACATTGACCATTTTTATTAGCCGTCTTCTTTTGACATAATGTATTTATTTTGATTTACCACTTATTATTAAATTGTGACACAACATTGTGGAAAGTGATCACCTTCCTATTTTAGTGGCTGTAAAACAGTTTTTCAATGCCTTACTTGCAGAGTCGCTGTTTGTTCTTTTGCTCTGACTGCATTTTGCTGTTAATGCATATTGAGAGCTCAAAAACTTCTTGAATGAACATTATTCAAAGACATTTCTTTCTGCTTCCATAGACAAATTGAAAGCGAAACACTGGTATGATTCAGGACATTTCTGAGCGGGTACCTGCATCCATGTTGAGAGCCAGCGTCTGGCCGACATCTCCAGGGGGCAGCAGGCTCGGCCAGGAGGCGGTGGGCTCCAGCTTGCCCACTTCATAGTGGCTTGGCAAGGTGGGAAGATGAGGCGGCCTCACAGTGGGCACGAGCAGACCCCCATAGTGAGGCTCCAGAGCCGACGGTGAGTACAGTTCATGTAGCGGTCGAGGGGGGCCGTAGGCTTGGGCCTGAGGGTACCCCCAGCCCTCCGGTGGGTGGGGGTGGGGATGAGTGTGGGCGTGTGGGTGAGGATGAGTATGCGGGTGTGACAGGCCTGGATGCAGCGCCGACGCGTACGGGTCCATGGAATAAGCCGGGGCGCTGGTCTCACAGTGGGGGCGACTCTGAGGCGACGTGTAGTTACTATCCCAGAAAGACGGGGGGAAGCTGCGCCGACTGGTAGAGGAAGAAGTTTCTAACAGACGAGAGAAAAACTGCGATCAACATCAGATCAAGTCTTGAGTCCTATCAATCAATCAATCAAGTTTATTTGTATTAGCAACAAGGCAGTTCAAAGTGCTTTGAATCATAAACTTGTCATACAGTCACTAATAGTGAAACCAGAAGCTAAACAGAAATAATCTGTTTTGCACCTTTCTGGAAGTTTGCTCCAGATTTGAGGTGCATAGAAGCTGAATGCTGCATTTTGCACAATCATTACCTCCAGATGAATCAGAACAAAACCGAGATTCAGCAACAAAATCACAGTAAAACTGAACAATCTTTACAATGAATTAATTTATATTCTAGGTTTTGAAACTCAAAATGTATAGTTTTATGTTATTTAAAATATCATGTAAGAACTCCACCAGTGATTGTTCTTTTTCTTAGAGCTCATGGCCATGTACACTTAAAATCAAATATTTACATGCACTGTTTAAAAAGACACAACTTTGTCCTTCAGTGGTTTACATTTAATAAAACTTATTTATTTATTTTTTGTTTTGTTTTAGTCTAACTAGGTTAGGTTAGTACACCAACATTTCCTCAGTATTTGGTGAAATTGACCCTGATTGGGGTCAAAAGTTTCCAGTATCATTTCATGATTTCTCACAGTCGTTTGCTGGACTTCATGTATATTCAGACCTGACAGACCTGCTGTAGCTGCTTCATGCTTGTCAGCTTTGGGACACTTTTCTGTCCCAAAGCCAAGTTTCTGTGGAACTTGGGATTAATCTTCAGTATTTCTACATAATTTTCTCTCATTTTGACACCATTTATTTTGTGAAGTGCACTTTCCCTTAAGCAACCAAACATCACAATGCTGGCACCCAGGTACCTCACACTTGGGATTGTGTTTTCAGGCTTCCAAGTGTTCTCAATTTTCCCTTAATTATGGCCAAACACTTACATTTTTGAATCATCATGTCTCCGGCATCTCCAGGCATCTGGAAATCGTACCAAAGGGTGATTCAGACTTGTGGAGATGTGCCTCTAATTGGTTCAAATGTCATAAATTAACCTGTTAGAAGCTTACAAAGCCATGACATCATAATCTGGGCTCCCAAATTCTCTAAACAAATAGTAATCTTAGTTTATGTAAACTTCTGGTTTAGAAAAAAAAACACAGTCTTTGAAAATGTTAACTCACTTAATATTCTGGCATTTAGCAAATCGTTTTGGTTTGACGTATTTGACGTTAAACAGGAAAAGCTTAAACAGTTTAGTGTCTTTTTTTATACAGTGTATGTTTAAACTGTTTAAGTTTTGCCTGGATATTATATTGATTTAAAATCATTCTGTTCACTATAATAATTATTTAATTTGTTTTATTGCTGACAAACATTTATATCAGTTGTTTGACTCAAATGTAGATTTGAGTTTAAAAGTTTTCTTTTTATTTATTAATTTATCTTTCCTATTTTCATTTTGCTTTTAGTTTTAGCACTCACACCAGGATTTTAGAACCAATGCTTTTTTTTTCTCACTCCCTCCTGTTTTAATTTCACATAAAGCACGTCGTGTTAACTGGCTGGTTGGTGCACTTATTTCACAGAAGCAAATGAATGGGAATGGACCAACGATGTTGCTCACATGACTGCGACACCCTGTGGGTCAGATATCTTCCTCATTGGATCATAGGGTCACACGACCCAGGTCCAACAAGACACAGAAATAAACACAACCACGCTCCCATACACTTCAGGAGAGACACAATTTAGAAAGAGAGATGTCCCTATATTCTAGAATGCTATATAAGGCAGACGCTGTAACCTGGAGGCAGCCCAGGGCTCACAGAGTGTTAAATCACTGGCTGTGGTGACACTTCTCACTTTCATGTCGGCCCGGTGCTCCTGAAAATCTAAAAACACACACAAGCAGTTCTGACCCCATGCTAGCACCCGCCGCCCCTCTCTTCTGCACCCCGCACCTTCACCTGTTGTTTTCGCAGCCCCTCCCGCTCTCTGAACGCCCTTGACAGAGATTCAATATGCTGTTATATATTTTCAGAAATATGGCTTTATATTTAGCTATTCCTCAAGAAGACCCACCGAGTTTCTCATTGTTGCTACTGCACTGAGAATAGACATAAATCTGAGTAGCAGGCAGGCAGCTGACTGTGCAACCATTGTGGAGCATGAGTTGGAATCAGAGTCAGAATGGCTGCCGCGGAGATGTTTGAAGGGGATACGCCGGCGAGGCTGTACGCTTACAGCCGGGTATAAACATAGCATCTGTTGTGAGGCAGGGAGCGCTCGCTGGTGCCGAAATGAAGACGTCCAGCCTAACGAGAAAAAAGAGCGCAGGGAGAGCAGAGTGGGGCAGCGAGTGAGGGTGCAGACCCTACATGGAGAGCTGAGGGACGCCCTGTTGGACGCAGAGAGCTTAGGAAGATTTTCAATTTCAGGTGTCCTATTCAGTGCATTGGTTCAGATAAGCATGCATACAGCCGTTTTATTTTAAGATGGATTTTAAATATCAAAATTACAAATAAAAATATTAAACATTTCTTGAGGCCCAATAAATCAAAACTGGTAAAGTTACATAAAGCAACGCACACAACTGCACAGACTCTTTTTTTTTGTCTTACTTCAAACTTTGGGCCCAGCCAGAACCACAGAAGCCACATTATTCTGCCAAAGAGCCATTGACCTGCGTGACCTTCTGCCCTGACTCCCCCAAGACCACATCTACCCTTCAGTCCTGTCACCTGACATCACCGGTCCGACTTTCTGCTGTGCTCTGCAGAACTGCCAGCTCCACCAGTGTCTTGAAATTCATGAAAGACACCCCAAAACACACATGGCATGCATTTGTGGGCCCAGTATGTGTTTTGCTCAGACTGAGTGTTTGCAAAATGGGACTAAGATGACAATACTCATTTGTGGGAACCACATGTATTTACTAATTTGAACGTGGATCAAAAATACCAGCAGGATTCTCTGTGCAGGCAACAGGTGAGTCACATTGAATAAATTCAGATGAAATTGCACAAACATTTCCAGAATCAGTATGGGTGTCACTTTTTGCCAGTTGTCCAGCATCCTCTGTCTGTGTTGGAAAATCTAATAATTACGATAGTAATAATCGTAATCATAATAATAGATTGGTTAGTCACAAATACTGTATTGTTCTCCAAACAACACTGATATTTATCCAAGTTTTACATCCTGGCCTATATTAGCTTTATGTACAATTATATATATCATGACTTTAATTGTGAAGACAATTATTTCCATTAGTGGTGCAAAATCTTGACAACATTAATAGTTCAGTCATGTGAAACCTGCAGCTACCTGTGCCCTGTTGCTCTGGCGCCCGCCGTTTGCCCTCTCCATCCATGTAGGAGCTGAGAGCCCTGGAGAAGTGCTCGTCCACCACGCTGCTGATGTCTCCATGGTAGTAAGTGAAGAGCACACAGCGAGAAGTCAGGTACTCTGCCTCGGGGCCCTCCTGCTTCTCCTTGGGGCCCTCCGCCGGCCTCGGTACCGCAGGTGTGTAAGAGGAGGAGGAAGAAGAACTGGACGAAGATGAGGAGGACGTAGATCCTCCAGTGCCGGGGCCCCCAGACATCCCTTCGGGAACGCTGGGAGGTTCCATAAAATCCCGACTGTTGGGCGCAGAGCTGCTCAGACCTGAAGGAGCCTGTCAGGGGGAGATCAGCGGGCGGGAGAGGGGGCGTGGGCGGGGGAGCAGGGCGAGGGTTAAGACAGGTGCTGCAGAAACACTTCTGGAAATTATGATGAGGCTTTTTGACGTGCTTATCATTGTGCTGCTGCGCTGGCATGTCCACGCGCGCTAAACATCTGATTTGAACAAGATATTCAATTAAAAATAAATACATTTCAATCGTAAACGTATTAAATCCCTTGCCTAAAACCAAGCCTACTAACGTTTACGCACAAACCACATCAACCAGCATAATGTATCCGATTTAAAAATATTCTACATTCATCTCAGTGACTCCAGTTAAACTTGGGGGAAGAATTTAACTCAACTTTAAATATTTGCTCGCATCCTACCTGTAAGCTATTGATAAAAGCGGGAGCAGTCGGTGCGTACGGTGCGTAATGTCCATAGGCTGGATACATAACATCCAAACAGCTCATGGTAAACGAGCGGTGTCCTCACTGTTCTGCTGGAACCGACCTTCGCAACTGACTGCGCGACAACATCCCTGTTTGTGGAAGTGGGGAGAGCTCAGCTGGGTTATGCGGCGTGAAGCAAAGCCAGATTTGACATAATCACTCCAGAAGGAGCGCACTCCCTCCGCGTCCTGCGCGCTCCTCAACAGCCGCGGTTGCAAAATGTGGAGAGGTTTATGAAGCCAGCATGAGGGTGTCCTGTCCTGTGCATCGCAGTGTCGACCCCTCCTACCCGCCATCTCCTTCCTCTCCTGCCTTATTATCCCCGGCAGCGCCGTTACATCCACAATATGGAAAATAATAATGGATGATTTAGCATAAATCATTTAGTTTATGGACATTATGGTGGAATCCACTTTTCCTCCATTGAAAAGTTGAAGTAATTCCTTCAATTCACTAAATAGGAGACATTCACATATATTCACTAATTGTATAAGATTAATAAAAAGGGATTAAAAAACAGAAATCTGAGTCTATTGAAAAGCATGTCCAGGTTTATTTATACAGCACTTTTCAGCAACAAGACATTTCAAACTTTGAATACAAAGTGCTTTACAAGATGAAAACATAGAAACTTATAATAAAAGTAATAAAAGGAAAGTAAAAAGTTGGACAGTCAAAGTATAAGATGGGTTTTTAGTTTTGATTTGACTTTACTATTTCAGGATTTTTGTGGTTTTCTGGAAGTTTGTTCCAGATTAGAAGAGCCTAAAAACTGAATGCTGCTTGTCCATGTTTGGTTCTGGTTCTGGGGATACAGACCAGAACCAGAAGTCCTGAGTGTTTGGAATAGAATTACATCCATTTTGGTACTAAGTCATTCAGGTATTTACTGATAGAAAGTATTATCTGAACTCCAGGGAGCCTCTGTAAGGACTTTAAAGCTGTGCTGATGTTCTCTGTCTTCCTGGTTTTAGTGAGAACTGGAGCAGCAGCGTTCTGGATCAGCTGCAGCTGTCTGAGTTTTAGGCAGACAGTCTGTGAAGACTTTGTTGCAGTAATCAATGCAAGTAAAGATAAATGCATGGATGAGGTTTTTTTTATTTTTATTTTTTTTACATCTTGTTTTTTCCTGGAAACATTCAGGTGATAATAAAGGTCCAGGTCCAAGTCCATCAGCCAGATTTCAGGACGGATCTGTATAGTTTCTAACTGTAAAATCTGTGTGCTGACTCTTCATCAGAACACAGCTGATCACAGCTTCTCCAAGAATAATAACTTCAATTTTGATTTTATTCAACTGAAGAAAGTTATGGCACATCCATTCTTTGAACAAATGAATGTATCTACTCAACACTTGAATGAGTTGATAGTCACCTACTGACATTGTGTGGTAGAGCTGTGCATAATTATCATACTATGTTATGTTTGTTATTATCTGACTCAATGGAAGCATGTTAATATTAAATAGAGGGCACCCCAAGATGGAGCCTTGGAGAACCCCACAGGTGATTTGACTGATTTTCCTTTTGCATGTAATATTGCATCATTGCTGTGTGGTGATTATTTGCTCTGGTATTCTCATCTACTCCTGACAGAACTCCTTAGATTCTCTGTGGGATTTATCTCACCCTGCAGAATGGAACAAGCATCTAAAAACCTAGTCAGCAGAGAAGAAGGGGTTTAAATTGTGCTGGCAGAGTGTTACACTTACTTTGTAGTTGAGAATAAACACCTGCAGGTAATGTTGCCTCCCAAGTCCTCACTGACTGTGGAAACTTCACAGCAGCTTGAATTCTGTACCTCTCCACCATTCCTGCAGATTCTGGCACCTTGGTTTCCAAATGAAATGCAAGATGTGAGGAATTGGGGTGGCGGCGGTAGGAGTTTGCCCATAAACTGGTGGATCGCCGGTTCAGTTCCCGGTCTGCCCGCCCTCTTCCGTTTGTGCCCTTAGGCGAGACACTTCACCTGTCTTGCCAGCTAGTGTCAGTCAGAAGAGCCGATGGTACGATTTTTGCAGTCTCTTCCGTCAGTCTGAACCAGGACGGCTGTAGCTCCAGCCCAGTAGCATCAGCGTGTGAATGCGATGAGCTTTATGAATAAAATTGATTATTATTATTAAATTTACTTTCCTCTAAAAGTAAAACTTGGGACCACTGAGACAACAGTCAGTTCCTCATTCTCTTAAGCTCATGTAAGTAAGTCCTTATTTTGCGTCTGTTTCAGGAGTGCCAGAGTTAAAGGAGTGACGGTTGTAGACTAGTCGTGTGTTCTTGAAGTTTCACCTTCGAGTTGCAGCCTTCTGAATCTCCTGAAAACTTTTAAATTGACTCTGCTTCATAATCCTCTCAAGGGCCTGGTTGTCTATTTTCTTAATCACTTTATATGCACCAATCACATGTTTTCTTCTACTATACTTTTCAACATTGTCTCCATCTTCATGGCTTCTCTTCCTTGTAGAGTCTCGTTTGGAAATCTGCATGACAATAAGATTTCTGTTTTCATGAGCTGTAAGTCATTATTGTCAAGATTAACAGAAATTCATTCCTGACATTTAGACCTCTGTGTGTAATTCAGCTATAAAAGTTTCATCTTTTGAATTGAAACGCTGAAATAAATTTCCTTCTAATGTGAACATAATTTATGGAACTCTGAAACATGGAAACAAGTTGTGGTTCTGCAATATCTGATTTCTCATACAAACGGCTGTTAACGACTCTGTCATGTTACACAAATAGATCTGGATGAAGTCACTTAGATAAGCGGACAAACAACAATGAGCACATGATGCATGTGGTTCTGTGACTTTTCTATTCCTCTGTGTGCACTTTGGATACTTGCAGACCTTGTGCTGGGTCCAAACTGAAAGTGTATCCATGCTCTTAAAACAGCCATTGGTTGCCAAGTAAACCCTCAAGTCATCTGAAGTATTTAGTGTGCTCCCAGTATGACACATAGGTGTCAACTATAGGTTGCATACACTGGCCACACCGACATGGACGAGAAAGGGACTCTGCACAAATCTATGACAAATTATCACCTATCAGCAGTGCAAACAAAATATATTTTCACACACATACACAAACAAACAGACCCCCAGAAGCACCAAGAGAGCAGAAACTGAAGATTCAATGTGTATCCAGACTTTAAAAAAACAAACAAACAAAAAAACTGTAAATACATGCTTTTTTTAATTCTTGTGTGCTTCTTGTGCTTGAGGTCTGGGCATGCCAGTCTTTTTGACAGGCACTTCAGAATGCCTGTGAGAATAGTGTGGAAAATTTGCAGAATTCCATGGACGAGTGTCAGATGAGGTGGAATGTCTCTGATGTATGCTAGTGGACGAGCTCCTTGGGAAGTTACATCGTCCCTCTGCTGCGTTCTCTAGATGGAGAACATGACCAACAACTTGCTGTGCACACGTTACACATATTATGAATAACTGAGGCCAGGTTATTAACATGCTGATGGATTAAACATGCTCTTAAACTCTATTGGTGAATGGATCTTTTATCTCCTACATAGCAACATTTTCACCTAAAGTCTTTCATCCCTCACTGGAAATTGAGGGCTGATTTGACAAAACAAAAAACACACAAATCAACAGCTATTTACAATAAAAAAAAATCAAATGGAAGTTATTAAAATAGCTTAACTATTAGCTAATATAACAAGTGGTTCAAATTAAACATGACATTTTTAGTGAGTACTGCAGTCTCAGAATTATTCAAACCCTCTTTGATGTGCATCTTCAGCACTTAGTAAAGCACTTTTTCACTGTTATGACTTTTTCACAAGTGTGACGCAGAGCCATGCAACTTATGAGGAATCTTAGCTCACTTGTTATGAGCAAAGATCTTCAGGTAATTGATATTGATGGGTGTTCATGCTGCAACCACATCCTTCGAATCTCACAAGAGATTTCTTACAGTTCAAGTCAAGCAACTCTGACGGCCTCTGTTGCCTCTTCCAAGATGTCTTGTGAAACCAAGCTTTAGTGAATTCCTCACCCTGCAACATTCCAGTGTGAAAGGAAGCACAACAGCCCCTCAGCATAATGAAGCTACTACTATGCTTCCCCATAGACATTAATGAATTACAATTGCATGATCATATGACAAATTCTAGTCAAGTCATGTTATGGAGAAAATTGTGCATCTTTTATTGTCTCTGTATTTATTTTAATTAATTAATACAGTGCGAGTTCACAACAAATGTCAAATCAAGGCACTTTTAAAAGACAAGCAGGGCGAAATCACATGCAGAAATACATAAATATTTGCTTGTCTGAGTTTGTAAGCATATGAATTTGAGTGATATCTTCTTCTTAATGCATGATGTCTATTGCCATTCCACTCCACCCTTTACAACAAGAACAGCTTCAGCACTTCTGCAAATTCATTCCCTCAATGTTGCATTTAATTTGGATCATTTTGAGCGTTCTTCCACTGATGTAGGACGACAGGGCTCACAGTCAATCCTCTAATTCATCACAAATGAGTTTTTATGGTTCAGTCAGTACTCTGTGCAGGAGAGTTAAGTTCCTTCCCAGTAGATTGCTCATTTATGCTTTTATGGACCTTGCTTCGTGCACGGGTGCGTAGTCATTTCCTAACAACTGGGCCATTCCCAAACTGTTTCCTACTAAGCAGGGAGCATGAAATCATCTGTAATCCTTGGTATGCTGAAGTATTAAGAGTTCCTTTTAACGGAACTGTAGAGCTGATCCCAACACTGAAAAACATCCCCACAACATGATCCCCCTTCACCAGAACTTACACTTGACATCATTCAGACAAGTGCCATTGTTCTGGCAACTGTCAAACCCAGAATCATTGGTTTCCCAGATAGAGATGTCTGGGAAACAGAAACAGCCTGCATGCTTAGTTGTTGCATTTTACACACCTGTGGCCATGGAAATGATTGGATCACCTCAATTTGATTATTTATTTACTTTTTGCAATATATTTTATCTCCTCAAATAACTCCAACAATCCAATCATTGAGGCAGATTCAAATTCATTAAGGCACATTCCTGTCTCAGTTTATATGAGCTTATGAGTAAATATACAAATGTAGATTTTTATATGATAATAAGCCTTTTCGTTCTTGCTTCTGTTCACAGCCATCAGAAAAGCTTCCTGCACAGTAATGCTGGACGGCAAAGTAGTGGTTGGAGAAAGAGAGTGATGCAATGCTAGAAAGCTCAGTGTTACACCAGCGTGATCAACAGCTGCAGCTGACGGAATGGAAGGGAGGCCACTATTAGTATTAACTGCCATGACTAAATTTCTGTGTCTCCGTCTCCCTTTCTGTCTCTGCCTCTCACTTGTCTTCCCTCGTGATAAACACTGCTTCTCCGCTTATAATGCTAGCCTTAAGACACACGGAAATGGGAGTGATTTCATAGATATTTGCCTTGCCAAACAAGTCAAAAAAAGACAACCGATAAGGTAGAGATCCAAAATGAAATATGTAAATCTTTGCAAGCAAAAGCTGAATCTGTCACTCAGAGTGAATCTGTGAACGAGATCTTGAGGAGTTGTATACATTTACTTGTGTGTGCTGAAAATAAACACAGATTACATCATTCCTTGTGACCCTTCGGTGCTGCTCCACCCCCATTAAAAAGGCTCTGAGCAGGCAGCGTCTCTCATTGGCTGAGATGTTGCAGGCTAGTTGAGGTAGTAACAGCAGCTTGGTTTTATTTTAGCACACTATTCAAATTGCAACAGCACCTTTAATAGTATATAGTCTGCTAGAAATACCTGACTGCAATTAAAAAAAGCATCGATGCTCCTGCTAACTTTTTATAAAATGCTTAAACTTTAACAATCAGAGATAAAGTGGATGTTTCAGAAAGCATGTGAGGTTTTAGAGACAGTCTTGAAAGATGTTTAGGTTGCAACATGAACCCAAAATGATATAAGCTGCCTCCTGAAACAACAAGTCCTTTATTAAGGTCTTAGTGTGGCTTGGTCCCAGGAGGGATGGACCTCGGGATTCCACTGTTGTTTATAAGCCTTGGTGTTCGTGTGAATGTGGGTGTATATGTCCAAGGCAGAGATGTACAGCTGCCCCGTTGTCCACTTCCACACAAACTCATCTCAGCTGTTGAAAATCATCACCCGGTGTCATCGGAAAGACACTCTGGCACACAGGCGTGCTCTTACAAAAGGGCCACATATGGACAGGTCCAGCTCATTCAACCTTCTACACAAATGTTGGTAATAAATCCTCTGTCACAGAGTGAGCAAGTGTGTGGCTATTTAATTTCTCAAACAACCTACTTATTGTCCGCACAGACCACCAGAATATTGGAAATAAGGAAATATAAGGAAACAAATTAAATTAGAAATTAAACTTTATACACCACAAATCAAGACATGTTTCTTTTCTTCTGATGAATTATTTTCTTTGGTTTCAAGAGAAACATCAGGTCTGATCAACTTTGATTAGCTAAAAAAGATAACAGAAGTCAATTTGTTGCTTTAATTGCTTTTCAGTTTTGCAGTCTTGCAAAATCCTTCACTGTATTTTTTTCCACACTTTGTGTCACATTTCAACCACAAACTGTATTTTGTAGGGATTTTTGTGATAGACCAACACAAAGTATTCCACAGCTGTAAGTGGAAAAAATGACACATGGTTTTCAGTTTGTATATCAACACAAATCTGACAAGTGTGGTGTGCCTTTGTATGCAGGCTTCCCTTTGTCAATTTAAAACAGACACCTTTCACTGAAATCATAGTTTCAAATATTTCTAGGTTTGTCTTTAAAAGCTGTGAACATCTAGAAACTAAAACCTATCTTCTTCACAAGAAAGGGCAATCTTAGTCAGATTGGTAGTTCTCAAATCTTCATAAATTCACTGCTGTTGATAGGTCTGGACTTTGACTAGGCCATTCTAACAAACAAATATGCATCGTCCTACTGAAAAGTGAGCCTTCAGCCCAGTGTAAAGTCTGTTGCATCCTAAAAGATTTTCAGATAATATGCAGTTGCAAAAAAGTTAAATCTGAAAAAAAAAAATCCATCACGCGCATATTTTCTGATGTCTTCTATATCGTCTAGCAAACTGAAAACAGAACTTTTTATGGGTTTGGAGTGATTTTTATCCTCTCATTCTTTCTTGGCATCTAATTTACCATGTGTCTCTTATTGATGCTCTTCCTCTTAGTTTAGGTGAAATTCTGACGACTGGTTGAGTTCTCTGTAAGATTTTAAAGACTGCGTTTACTCCTTAGTTTAACTCTGAAAGCAGTTGTTTGGAATAGATTCTGTTTAGGGGTGTCAAAGAAAAAGGAGCTGCATGCCACACCTTTCAGGTTTTATTTGTGAAGATTGCTAAAAAGCATTTAGTATTCTCTACAAATAAATCATTTTCTCAATACACCACTGAGAGCATAATAATAAAAAAAATACCTCAGATTCTCTGCATATTTGCAACTATTCTAAAGTTGTTTTTATTGAATATAAATAGACTGAATTATTTTTTCTGTAACTCAGTTGAAAAAATGTTTGGTTTGATATTTTATGTATTTTTAAAGATTCTGATATTATTTAATTTATTCTATTTGCATATCCATATTATTTTGCTATTATGAAAAAAATCAACAGACCTTTAATAAGTACAGTTAATCACCATAAAACATATCCATGTCTCTTTTTGAAAGGAAAAGTTAAATAATTAGCACTGTTAACAATAAACACTGCAATAAAGATGTTCAGAAAATAAAAATATTAGTGTTTATTGTTTTTCCTTCCACCTTGTTAACATACCAGGAATTGCCAAGGCCAAGAAATGGCTGCACTTTTTTATTGCACTTGAGATTTGTTAATGACCCCCCCAAAGCTGCCTCACTATTTATCAGTAGTTCATCTTGTGAAATGGGCAAAATCTGGAAAAACTGCATCCTTGGCGAGGCTGACAGGTGCTACATTCCTACTACCGACATAGCTGACACCCTCCTGTTGGGCCACTGAAGTTATGCACACACAATTAAAATTACATGTTCGAATCCAGATGTAAAGTCAAAGAAAATCAAAAATGAAGGAGCTGAAGTCTTAAGAACTGATCTGGGGAATGCAGGATTGTCTCTGTCAGAGAACGGAGCCGTTAGAGGAGCGACCTGGGTGGCAAAAGGTGAAGAGAATGAGATACCAAAGGGAGACTGAGCAGAATCACAAATTTGGCATGTCACATGGTCAAACAGTGAAGATTTACGACTGATCGGGTTCCTCATCAGCAGCATGGTGTTGTGGCTCCAGAATGCCAGGTATGGGAGTGAGATCAGACTCTGACTATAGTTTGTACACCCCTTCTGGCAGCATACAGCCGGTGTGACTAGTTGAAAATGACAGTGTCACCTGTGGGAGAAGGGCGAAATCTTTTATTTTTTTTTTTTTCTACATCTTCAAGATTGCAGGTAAGCTAGCATTTATGAATGCAAAACAGTGAGCATTCGTGTAAGTTGTTCTGAATAATATGAAAACCAAGACATAAAAAAAAATCTGAATTACCAATGGAAGTGCGAAGTGTAAAAAAAAAAGTACATATCTTTTAAAATTTGCCTCATTTTATCCCCTTCTTCACTCTCAGGATCTATGATTTACTCAGCGGTGACATCATGGAGACCGCAGCTATTTTTATTGGACGGTAAAGGGCCAGCTCCTTTCCGTGCACCGCCACCTGCCCAATCCACACCAGTCAACAAGACCCTGGAGAGAAGGGGGAAAAAAATCATGCACCCAAAAAATGATTGAGAGTTGAAAGGCTGAAAATGATATAGGCATGCCATGCTACTGTCTGAAGCATGTCTAACAAGTCAGATGTCTTTTCACAGCTACTGGTCTGCCATCCCAATTTGTCACACTGATGCACTGAGTGCAGTCAGTTGTGTATCCTATAATGTTGATGCCATTGTGTTTTATCACTGATCTAATATGTTTTATCTTTGCTTATGCTCTGCTTTTGGTAATTACTTGCTGAGTTTTGCATATAAATTAAGATTTTAGCTATAATACCTGGTTTTAAAAAACCAGTTTGATATACGTGTGTGTGTTTGGGTTGTGGTGGGTTGCCTGCATGGGGTTATTCCTGTCCTTGAGTCATTTGATCAGAAGTTGGTCACAGGCCACCCATAATGAATCAAGGGTATCACTGTTTAAACCTATTGCATTAAGGGAAAGAATAACTGTAGATAATAATGAGTCAAAATGGGAAAAATAAGCATAGAGACAACATTAAACAGCTGTTTATAAAAGCAAGAATGGCAATAACTAGGAATAATTGCCTGATGGAAAATGAAGAGGGCTATGCAGATCAGTGTGCTTGGGTATTTTGGTATTTTTGATTGGTAAGTTTGTGAGGGATGATTCAATAACTGAAACGATTTTAATGAATTCAACATATCCCTTTATGTTCTTCTGACTTGCCTTTTTGTGATGGACTAGTAACCTGTTCTCCTCCAATGCCAAAAGAAAGCGTGGTTTTCTCAGTGTCCTCCATGCCCCCATGTCTCTCCACATATGGTCAGAACATGTGCAGGAGCATATTTTTTCACTTAGTGCTGAGTCAAAAGAAAAAACTAAAACAAACAGAGCTAATCCTGAATCATCATTAATAAGAAGCACAAATAGAAACTAATTTTAACTTTGCTTTTACTCAGAAAAGTGTCTCTGCGTCCATCTAGTGGCCGAGGAATGCCATTACAGCAAAGGCCCTTGATTTATGTCGCACATTAGTACCAGTTAGGGTAATAATCAACTTCACTGTAAGCAAGGTTCATCTTTCGGACAGATCCTGAATCCCTTAAAGTTACTTAAAAAGCTTTCACAACTTTCTGGTTCTGGTGAGCTTCAGATTCAGCTGAGATAATCACTCAATATGGACCTTCTCTGTTGAAACTGTGGGTAACAAATAAGTTCAAAATGTTGTTACTGTCTATACTCAACAACGTTTTATGTATTTCACTCCCAAAAACATATAAAATCTGGAGGAAAGGGGCATTGTCTTATATTTACAAAATAACAGATGACAATTAAAACATTGTTTTTTGACCTTATGAAAACTTTTTACTGAAAAGCATGTGTTGTCTTGTGAAAGTATTGATAGTATTGTCTGTAAATAAATATTTACAAAGCTTTTTTTCCATTTCCATTCTTAAATATCTATATTTAAATTATCGGTATTGTGAACAAAGTGGAACCGAATGAAAATTCCTTGTTTGCGCGCTCAAACTTAAAACCCCTACTGAGAATCTGCAGTAAGACTTGAAACTTTATGTTGATGCTTTCTGTCCCATCTGACTTAGTTTGAGTTATTTTGCAAAAGAAGGATGGGCAAAATTTGTATCTCTTGACATGTAAAGCTAGAAATGATATACTCAAAAGGACTCACAGCTGTAAATGCACCATAATATGATTCTACCAAGAACCAGGAGGGCTGAATACAAATGCAGGTCGCACTTTCAGATTTTTATTTGCATAAAATAGAAAATTATATATGATTTTCCTTCTAATTTGTAACTATGCACTCAATCACCTCAAATCCTGATAAAATGCACTTTAGGTTGGTGTGGCAATGAGACAAAGTTAGAAAATATAAATACTTTGCAAATCGCTATACATGTTTAAAGTGTCTTGGATAAATATTTAAATAAAAAGTTAAGCTTTGAGTTCTGTAACATCTACAGTTCTTTTCAGAAGTGGGTAATAACAGCTACATTTAGTATCACTAACATGGGTAAAATATCTGGATACTCTATCAACTGTGACCTACTTCACTGAATGAAGAGTAAACACATTTTAACTAAAAAAGCACCAGAAAGACTCACACATCTATAGCTTATGTTAAAGTGAGACTTCTTTTTCATGCACAGAATTTTTAAAGCTTGCTGTGCCTTTAGAGGTTATTTATTTATATTATAATTTTCATTTCAATTTTTAAAATACTAGAAGTTACACAAAACTAAATGCTTTGTCTATCTGATATCATAAGATATTCTGATAAGTTACTCAGTACTTAAGTTAAAAGTAGCCTTTATATGGAATATTTTTTTAACTCTTGAGTAATTCCTTAGGTGGAAACTTTTCATTTTTATATTAGTAAAACTATGTTGAAGTTACGGAGGATGATTAGAGCCACACAGAAAAAAAAAGAATTCTGGCTATAACTTCAGAATTCAGATTTTTTTCCAAAAATTCCAGAAGTGAGAATTGTGAAATTAAAGTGACTTTAATCTTAAGGTTCTGACTTTTCTAAACAAAAAAAAAGAAAAGAAAAAAGAAAACAAACAGAAAGTCCCTAATTTTTTGAAGTAGTGCTACTCCTTCTTGAGTACAATTTAGGGTATTCTACCCACCTCTAATGGACCATTCGTATCTTGTTCCTCCCAGTCACTAGGGGGCGCGTGTTCACTGTGAATAAATGTCATTCTGAGTTGACGAGGGCCGCCCAGCCATGTTGAGGAGTCTGTCAAGCAAACTGCAGCCCGCCATTGTGTAGAAACCAGGCTCTGTAGAGAGATAAGAGTGCTTGCCTGAAACTCCTTCATAGCCGGACAAATTGTACACCCCGCCGCTGTTAATTAGGAGAGAATACAGTTACACAGGCCGTGGGGGGGGAAAGACATGTCAGCCAGCAGCCTTCTTGAACAGGTAAAAAGAGGTATTTTCTGAACGTTTGCGAGGGCCAAATTTGTCAGCATCGCGACGGCTAGCGCAGGTAGCTTAGCTTCGAGGCAGCGGCTGTGGCTCAGTAGTGCAGTAGGCCTGACCACCTGCAAAACAAACTGACTGCTGAAAATACATCTCTTCATCTATTTTTTCCCCTTCCTCTCTTCTCATAAATCAAACCTTCATGAATCACCTGGACCCAATCCAGAGACCGAAAGGCCAAGCTAATAAAGGTAAGAGCTACTCACTGACTGGGGTTGTGAATACGGATCTCCTTACGTGCCGTGCGCTCTGAAAATCCTGCGTTCACGAGTGCTGTTAGCTTGTTACTGTTGAAAGGCCCCTCTGTGTCTATCACAAACTAGTTTTACGCATATTTTAAGTTTAAATATAAAAAACGCAACGTTGTTTTATCTAAAACCAGTTCTGGAGCGTTTACGGTACAAGTTTTAAAAGGGTCCCCACAGGTAGCGTTGACTTGCTAATGTTAATAGCAAAATGATTCACGTCGGCATCGTTTTCCTGGTTAGACTGGACGCTTTTCTGGGCAAAGAACTGAACAAAGACAACGTTTTACCACTCAGTCTTCCTCTACAGCACACACTAAACGGCATTTTAGCTGCGTTTAATCTACAGGTGCCTTTCTCTATGGCTAATGTCAGCCAAGCCCGTCAAGTTGAAAGGACTCGTCGCTTGGTAGCGTGCTAATGTTAGCATGTTGCTATGTTAACCCGAAACGACACGTCTCTACACATGCTTTACCACCACTTTACCGCTAACGCTATAAGTCTACATTTAAATAAATTTTAACCTGTCTCTATGATTTCACTTGCAGTTATCAATCTTTACTATGATACTTGGTGATTAGCGGGATCCCAGAAGAAATTTCAGCAAAATTTGCTATCAACATTTTCAGAAGAGTTGAATGTCAAAAGGAATTAATTTAAAACCAACTTTAAATGGCACAAACGTATATGAAAGTTTAAAATGTTAAAATCCAAAATCCTCAAGCAATTATGTCCTCCCAAAACAAGTTGCAACCCAAAATGTAATATCATCACAAAATGTGTGTAATTTATTATTTTTTATATAGTTATGAAATATGTTTTAATCATTCCATCAGCCTAAAGACAATTAATTCTCAAGGCATTAATCTATTGAACAAAAATTAGAAATAATTTTAAAAAATCAACCGTTGTTACTTTTAATTGATGTGCTGAATTTGAGATTGTTTATGAAAAATTGTCATCCATCTGTCAAACAAAATGTTCACAAGTCCTGGATGTCCTTATTCTGTCTAACCTATAAATTGTAAAATATTTAGACATTTTGAAAGGAAAATTTACTTTCAAAGTCACAATAGACTTGGCATTTATCACATTAGGAGGATTCTGCTTCTGATTTTAAGATTTTGCATTAGATGTACTTTAAATCATAGTTTTGACGCAACATTGTGATTATAAAACATGACTTGGATGGTTGTAATATTTGGCTGGATACTGTATATTATATGTCATTCATTTACACCGTCTGTAATTATATAATATTGGACCAGTTAAATTTACTGTCAAAGTTCCCAGGCCTCAAACAGGATCTACATGTTTAGTGACAGATAATCTAAAGCCACACTTTCTTTGAATCAAAAGTCTTCCATTATCTCCCTAACAGGAAGTACGTCAATAAGGAATAGCATTCTGAATTTATATTATTCTGAATGTAAATTCAAATCCAGTGACCGTTACAGGAATATCAGCACAGATTCACTAATGGTAACATAGCCAATAGCCAGCAGTTAATAACTAACATTTCTTGTCTGTTAGATTTCTTTATTGTAGTCTTACTCACATTTCTGTCTTTCATGGGTTTTTATATCATTTTGATCTGTTATCTGTAACAAAGTCCACCTCTTCAGTACATCAGAACATCTTTTAACTTGCTCAGGCTGCTACCTCATCATCTGATAAGTTTAATCTTATCATATAACAGGCGATGATGGAGATATAAACTGAAACTGTAACATTTCTATATCAGATTCACAAACCTGTTTGTCTTTTTTTCTGTTCAGTGCAAAACGGAGCTGTGACCCAAAAGGATACTTTGAATGACGATGAGTTTGAGCCTTACCTGAATACTCAGGCCAGACAGGTGAGCATTTGACTGAGGTTTGAGAAGATGATGAATCATGTTGACCACCATGACCGCATTTTCCTCATGCATTAATAAAAAACATACCTTTATTCTTTGTTGACAATGGTGGAAGTGGAGTTTGCAAATTAAATAAAAAATTATCACAAAAAACTACCTACTTACCTTCAATGGGTTCAAATTTATAAAAATAATTTTGCATGTAAAATAATTTGAAACTTGATTTACAAAGACTTAACTTGTTTCCAGTCTATTTCTGTTATCTGGGGAATCACTGATTAATTTTTATTAATTAAAAAAAAAAAGTCATCCTACGCCTTTTAATATGCATAGTGGCATTTATTTTGCTTTTCTAACAGGACACTGATGGATTTTATATCTGAAAACTTCTAACAAGTATTTGGTTGTAGTTTTACCTGTAAGGAAACACCATGGAGTAGAGAGAGGTTCGTTTGCAACCTCTCTACTAAGAAGTTACAAATGAGTGAGAGATGCTGAAGGTCTATTTGTGTTTAAATATTCCAGGAGATGTTTTCATTATAATCCTGTTTAGTTGCCCTTTTGGTAAAGCTTTTAGACTAGACTGATATTTTGGGTTCAGAAGTTTTATCCAGTGTTGTTTTTTTTAGGGGTCTGAATCTGACTTGTTTCTGGTGTAAAAGTTGTATCCATCCTTCAATCTGTTGTTGGCATAATTTGCTACTGTTTATCCATCCTCTTAAGTCAGAGTGTTTTTTTTTTTTTTACGTTTACCGAGTCCAGTCAGTGTGAAAGTATCTCCAAATGAATTCATAGAGAACTTTTGTATTTATACTGTAAAAATTGGCTGAAAAGTATGCTGGAATCTGGAAAAATATGGAATTTTGGCATGATAAATGTGGGGGAATAATATGGAGTGTTATTTGAAACACTGTTAATGCCGTGTCTGTTTCTGTTGTAGAGCAATGCCTATACGGCCATGTCGGACTCGTACATGCCCAGCTACTACAGTCCTTCCATTGGCTTTTCCTACTCCCTGAATGAGGCAGCGTGGTCCACTGGTGGGGACCCTCCTATGCCTTACCTGGCCTCCTATGGACAGCTGAGCAATGGCGAACCCCACTACCTCCCAGATGCAATGTTCGGCCAGCCTGGTCCCCTGGGGAGCAACCCGTTCCTGGGCCAGCATGGCTTCAACTTTTTCCCCAGCGGCATCGACTTCTCCGCATGGGGCAACAGCAGCTCTCAGGGACAGTCGGGGACACCGCAGAGCTCTGGCTACAGCAGCAGCTATGCCTACGCCCCCAGCTCGCTTGGGGGTGCCATGATTGATGGACAGTCTCCATTTGCACCTGCTGCCAATGAACCCCTCAACAAGGCACCTGGCATGAACAGCCTGGACCAGGGCATGGCGGGTCTTAAAATCGGTGGTGCTGCCCCTGGTGGGAATGGAGAAATGGCTCCGAAGGTGGTTGGCTCTGGGCTGCCTGGTGGGGGGCCCTTGGGCCCTGTATCTTCTGTTGGACCTCCCAGCATGCCCCCCGTCTCCATTGCCCCAGCCAAGCCGGCCTCCTGGGCCGACATCGCCAGCAAACCCGCCAAGCCTCAACCCAAGCTTAAAACCAAGGGTGGCATGGTAGGTTCCAATTTGCCTCCTCCGCCCATTAAACACAACATGGACATTGGCACTTGGGACAACAAGGGCACCATGCCCAAAGCTGCCACCCCTCAGCAGGTGCCCTCTATTCCCAGCAACGGGCAGCCACCCAATCAGGCTTCTCCGCAGCCTGGAGCCACAGCTGCAGGGAACCCACAGATGCCTCTGAGCAATGGACAGCTGGTTCCACCTGTCTCCCAGCTGGGGCAGCATCATCTTCCACCTACTGGACAGCCAGGTATGGCTCAGATACCCCAACCCCTCTCCCAGGGTCCACCACCGCCAAACCACCAACAGCAGCAGCCTTCTCAACCGACTCGCTGGGTCCCTCCGCGTAACCGGGCCAATGGGTTTGGAGACGCCGGCGGAAGCGGGTCAGGCCAGTCGCCTCCCTCCTCTTCCAGCATCGGTGTGGTTCCCGGAGTCCCGTCCGAGCCTCATCCTGTTTTAGAAAAGCTGCGGATGGTTAACAACTACAACCCCAAGGACTTCGACTGGAACCTCAAGCAGGGCCGCGTGTTCATCATCAAGAGCTACTCCGAGGACGACATCCACCGCTCCATCAAGTACAACATTTGGTGCAGCACGGAGCACGGCAACAAGCGGCTCGACGCCGCCTACCGCTCGTTGGCGGGCAAAGGGCCGCTTTATCTTCTGTTCAGCGTCAACGGTAGCGGGCACTTCTGTGGTGTAGCGGAGATGCGCTCACCGGTGGACTACAACACGTCTGCTGGCGTGTGGTCGCAGGACAAGTGGAAGGGCCGCTTCGACGTGCGCTGGATCTTTGTTAAAGACGTTCCCAACAGTCAGCTGAGGCACATTCGGCTAGAGAACAACGAAAACAAACCGGTGACCAACTCTCGGGACACACAGGAGGTACCGCTGGACAAGGCCAGGCAGGTGTTAAAGATCATCGCTGGATATAAACACACCACTTCCATCTTCGATGACTTCTCTCACTATGAGAAGCGTCAGGAGGAGGAAGAGTGTGTGAAAAAGGTAAAACACCATTCCTAAAATGATTGAAACGTGTAATAAAACAATTGTTCAACTCTGAATGTCTTTATATATTGCATTTTTCTGTCACATTACACAGAATGAAAAGGTTTAGTACAAGTTTGATTTTTATTCAAAGTTTAACTATTTTCTCTGTAATGACCTGTTTATCCCTTCTCTGTTTATCGTTGAGCTGCACAATATAAAAAACCCAGTGTTGTAGGTAAATGTAATGATGTATCAGAAGAAATCCACTTTTTCTTTTTACTCATGACCTCTGACCTTTGACGGATTACCATGATCTGTCAATTGTGGGAATCTACTACAGTGAAACTTGTATCAAGCCTTATCGGCATTCAAAGTGTACATTGATGACACTTGGTGTATATTAGCCTTCAATTACTGCTTTCCAGTGTTGATATGCAAACACATGACGATACAGCAAAGTATTGTGCAGTTCTTAAATATTTTAGTCATAAGTCAAATTATAAACTGGAAATACCCTGAATATGTGTGAATGACTTTTTTTTTTTCAGCTTAGCTGCCATGTTGGTGGTGGTTTTTGGTTTTGTATGCAGAAACTACAGCTGGACAAAATATCATCGTAACATGAGTGTGTGCAATATTCACATTACAAAGGACTGTTTGGAGAGCAATAATTGTTGGTTAATCTATTCCAAGTGTTTTGAACGTCCATTTTACATGCTAATGTAATAATTAGTTGGAGTCTCATGGCAGCAGATCCTCACACTGGACACAAATGACCTTGGCTAAGATGCTGAAGGCCACAGAGTGATGGAAGAAGAAAATAGGCATGCATCGCACCTCTCCAGATATTTTAATATACCAATGTGTGCAGAGGCTACTTGCCATACCACACAATAGGGTGTGTGTATTTCGTAATATTTTTACACATTTTCTGGTATAGTCCAGAAGCTTAGCTCCTTTCTTTTTGTTGTAACCTTTAACCTTTGGCTTTACAATGAACCAGATTAGACCATGAAACGGTGAAACACTATCTTTATTTTGTAATTATTGCACTTCATCATTTACATAGTGAATTTAAAGCATGAGGAATAAAATTATCAAGCAGCAGATTTTGGATTCTTTCACAGGTTGGGGTATTTGATTAAAATAATATTTATTCATTTCTTCCATGTGTTTGCACACAGAACAGTTTTACAGTTAAACTGTACATGTATGAGTTTGGAAACATACTTTTAGTTTTACAGTCCATTTCTTTGCTGTGTAGTTTTACATTTCTTGAATGTCATTTTGAACATTTAAATAAATGCTTAGAAATAGTTTATTTTCATAAATTTCTGGAAATATTAACTTCTCCTTATATTGGATTACTGCTCTAATTGTACTCTGTCTCTGAAGCACAACCTTAATTCTTTTTATGGTATCAAAGTTGTTTTTAATCTAAAATGTGTGGTTATAATTGAAGTCTATAGGTGGAAACCACATTCTTTATGTTGTGCTCAGTTTCCTGTGCTGTGTCTGACAGGTGGAGGTCCAAGGCAGTGAGCCATATCCCAGCAACCCAAGCAACAGGAGTCATTACAGGCTTCAGGTAACTTTGCTTGAGCTCAGGAGTAATTTGATGCACATGCATTGTTGATTTATGCCATGGTATGTTGACTTTTTAATAAAAACGTGTTTGCTTTTTTATTCTACCTGCATCGTCGGTTATTTGATACAGTGATATCCACTCTTCACAGTATGCAATCTCTATCTGCTTGTTTAATGCACCACACGTCCCCTTCTGTTATAATCCATTGGAAATGGAAGAAAAAAATGTTTTATTGTATTTTATTTTGTACTTATTATTGTTTTTAATTGTTGCTTCTTTTTTTTTTTTTTTTTCCAGGAGCGCCAAGGACGAGTCAAGTAACAGTTGGTGCTTTGGTCAAAGGACTGCAATGCCCCTTCCTAAAACCCTGTCCGCTCCAGTACATTATTACATTCAGATCTCTAAGAAATTCTAATAGGGGTGAAGATTTAACAAAGGACAAGAGGAAAAAAAAACTAAATGAAGACTTTGATTTCTTTTGACTTTAAAGACTTACTTCGAACTTGTAGTAAAAAGGAAACGATTATTCATAGGACTACAACTAAATGCATAGCATCCTTAGCTGAAATCCTTTTTTTTTTTTTTTGCCCTACCCCATTCCACTACATACGCTTTTTCCTTGTATGCTGCTTTTTCCTTTCCTTCTTTCTTTCCTTTATTTTTGTAAACACAAGGATCGGCATCCATTTTTTATGGTCCAAGACTTGAGTCTGTAATTCTCACACAAACCTTAATGATAAAAATCCATACAGAAAGCAAATAGAAAAATTTAGCGTCCCTGTCTGCCCCAAAAAAAATAAAAAAGAATGGAAAGATCTTCATCTTTAAAAGCAAACCTTACACCTGTCTGCAAATGATGCTCGGATCATCAACCAAGAAATCCAGAGCAACTTCTTCCACAGTGGATTCCTCACCGACGGCTGGTGCCAACTATTCTCACTTCAGTTTCTGTTTGTACATGCTTGCCACGTTTTTGTTTAGGAGGACTACAGATGTTTGTTTAAAAAAAGTAAAGCTCTCTGTGTTTTCACATGTTGTCGGAGTGTGTAGGGGAGGTGGGGTGAGGAGGATCAAGGCAGGAACACAAAGGAATGGGGTTAAATGTTTAAATTCAGAGAACATGTTAAGTTGATGAGCTTTTGCTCACTGTATAATTTTATAGGGAAAAAATGGGGCCGTCTGTTAAGTCTTCATTGGACTTTATTTACGCCTTTTTCTTTGTCTCTTGAAGAAGTTGACTCATTGTTGCTATGGGCTGCTTTTTTTTTTCTTCCGTTTTCTTATGACTGATGTGAGTGGCCTTGCCCCCACTCTTTCTATTAATCAGTTCAAAAGTAATAAATGTGGTATATTCAGCAGAGTTGTGTGCATTCCTTATGTTCGACTTGAAAGTGGCTTCTTTATTCAGCTTGTTTTTACATGGTATTAATGTGTTTTTTTCTGCTCAGTTATAATCAGCCTGCAGATGATGGAGGTTCTACTTTAACCCTGCTTTGCCTCTCCTACTGCTCCACTTTTCTGTGTCACCTTGTCCTCCACACTCCCCAATTCTTATTTCTGCTCAGCCAGACATTCATAATAAACCATTAATTGCAGCCATGCATTGCTCGGTGTCATTGTCAGTTTAGAAAAAAAGGAAACCTTGAGAACTACTGGCTTTTATTTGTGGCATAATAAAGATGCTCCACAAAGTTATGTTGGGTTTTGCTTTTCATTGGCTATTTGTACTTGCACTTATTCTCCTTTAAACCAGTAAAGTTTAAACTGATGTTTTCACAAGGTTTGAATTCTACCTCTGCATTGGTGCATGTCGGTTATTGGGCTAAGTGTGTGTCAAACTAGAATTGATCTAAATGGAATGCAGTTCTTGCAGACACCTTTGTTCTTTAGGCATTCAAGTCAATTGTCTGCTGTGAAACTGTCCGGGTTTAGCCGTCAACTTCTCATAATTGTGTTTAGAATAATGCATCTTCTACCTGCTTAAGGTAAATTGAAAATATATCCTAGAACTACGTATTTCGGATCGTTTCAGTTATTTTCTTTTTGGCATGAAATGTGGTGACTCAGCTTGATTAAAAACCTTACATACACTCACTCATTGGTGGAAAATGACATTTTGTAAAATATGACACGTACAAGATTCCGTAATTACCATAAATATTTGATTAATCCACATTCCGCCATTTTCTGTCTTGGAAATTATTTCTGTAATAGTCGAAGTGGACACAAGAGGGCGACACAGGATCGTTTACCGTGTCACGTTCTTCAGCCGGGTTCAGTTCATCGCTCTTCCTTCCTGGTCACGAGGCCTTGTGTTACAAGGTAAGCAATACTGTCTATAAAATGTACAGGTGTGGAAATTTATCACGTCATCTGATGAGAAATTGAGAAAAGCTTTACAATCTGCAAGAAATGAACTGAATTAGGCTTTTCAAGAATATTTTTGGTCACGCTTGCGCAACGTTGGTGTGTAAATGAACAGCAGCCTGTATTGCAGCTTTCATTTCGGATTTTCTACATTTCTGAATACGTTTCTTCAAGGCTAGAGGTGTCTAAGCGGTTTATGTACGTCTTAAAAATAGAGATTTTAAAGTGACGTGGGTATTAAGTGCCATAATAATCACCGTAATGTATAATTTGATATCCTCCAACATATTGCATTTGGAAAAACAAATTCAAAAGGGCATATACTGTGCACTTTGACCCATTTTTCGCATTTAAACAAGCAAAAATCTAATATTTGTACCGGTGTAGACCTGTTAGTAAAAAATAAATTGGCTGACTATTTGATATTCTTGCAGTCAGACTAATTGTCAGCAGTAGATTAAAGTAAGGCTTAACATAAACAATGGGTTTTTAGCCACCTCCAAGCCAACAGCAGGAACTCAGTGTTTCAGCAATTATGCATTTTTCCAGGAAATTTGCTCCATATTTGTGAACCATAACATGGAATGCTGCTTCTCCTGGTTTGGTTCTGATTCTGGGAATGCAGAGTGGACTTGAACCAGAAGACTTGATTGGTCTGGAAGCTTGATAGAAAAACAACTGCTCTTTAAAGTATTGTGGTGCTAAGCCATTCAGTGATTTATAAACTAACAAAAGTATCTTAAAATATATTTCCCCATCAGCTTTTGGGCCTGATCAGTAGTTTTTAGCTGCAGTAGCTAACTCTACATTGTTCATGTTTGCATCCAAAGATAACTTCAGTTTTGTTTGTGCTGAGCTGGAGAAAGTTATGGCACATCCATGCTCTGACTTGTTTCCAGCCTCTATTCAGTGCTGGAATGGGTTCATAGTCACCTGGTGACATTATGATAAAGAGTTATGAATCACCTGCGTATCTATGGGAGCTAATCTCATAATTGCTTTACATAACGTGAGCTAGCGGAAGCATGTATGCTAAACGAGAGGCGTCTGAGGATGGAACCTTGGGGTACCCCACACGTGACTATCTCTGATGATTGAATAAGATCAGAGGAATGACAGGACAGTTGTTGGTAGGAGGAAAAACAGAATAACAATAATAGTTATTTTCTCCTAAGTGTGTTTTTTAGTTGACTTGTATACTAGGCATGTTGTGTTAAAGTTGGAAAAAAAAAAGTTTTTTGGTTGTAGAATTTATTTATGCTACAGAAATTTGACCTTTGTAACAAGGTCGTGCACATTCTGACTTTCGCTGTACGTTCGTTCTGTCAGAGGTTTCACACTGATGGTTTTAGGCTTAATCTGGATGGTTCAGTGTAACAGATGTTATAGGGATGCTCCAATCAGGTTTTTGATGCCGATCACTGATCACTGCCAGTCGCCTGGAATGGTTGCTAATTTTTCGCTTTAGGTATAAATGATACTATGTTATCTGGCAAAATGGAAAAAATTATCTGGCAATAAATTCACCTAATTTAGACATAATAGACATATTTTAATATATATCTAAAATCGTTTTCTTTAAGTCACATGCTGCAGCTTCAAGCAGATGTTCGGTGTGAGAGTTCACTGTCTGGTGGAGGTTGAGTGGCTCTCAGTATGTGAAATATTACTACCTATAGCGTGTAGCGGCGGTCCAAAAGAGCAGAACCAGCTCCCAGCTCGAAGACTTTATTTTTTTCTGTTATTTGTTTAGCTTTCTGACCGTGATGCTAATCCGGGTGAGTGTTGGCAGCTGTGCGCTGCTTTGCCTGCTATCTGTCCTTTTTTCCCTGCATTGAGCCTCGATTTAGCCAAACTCCGTCAAGTGCTTGTTCTTTAAATGCCATATTAGAGTCGTTGTGTTGATGCATTTTGACGAGCTTCACCCCTGAGGTAATTTTCCGCCGCAACACGTAAACGTATCTCACTCTCGGATATAGAAATCGTTTTTATTACATTTATCGTGGGGGTGGGAGATATCGACTTAAAATTTTATCACGATATTTTGTAGTACTGCTGTGATAATGATAAACATTACATGCAGACGTATGAAAACGTCATGAAAACGGGTTTGAATCACATTTTCAAATTAATGATATTAATCTACACTCTCATTAAACATACAGTGAAAAGTTTGGGGGGTTTTAACATCATTAAGAAATCAAAATTCTTATTATGGCATGAATGATAAACAATACAATAAATGCCCACCCCTAATTTTTCATTATCACAACAGTACAGCAAAATATCATGACGAAACTTCAAGTCCGTGTCGCCCACTGCTGGGGATGACCCTCAGAAATCAGATTCAACCTTATTAAGGCGAGTTTATCGTGAATGGACGGCATCTAACAAAGTGACAACAGCTGATAAAAGAGCCACGGCTGGTGAGCGGTGAGTGTGTCGGGAGGGAGCTCCATGGCACGTGTCGTCTGTGTGTTGTGGTGGGGGGGAGGGTGTGTGTGTGCGAGGCAAGCGTGCCGCCCTCAAGGGGTTCTCCTGTGACCCTTATCTGCGTGTCTCTGGGGACGCCTTTCAGCCCCTCCTGGGATGCAAATGAGCAGCCATAAAGCAGGGCGCATTGAGATGCCCCATACGGAGAGGGCGGCGGGGAAGAAAGAGAAAGTGGTGCTGGAGGTGGAGGAGGAAGAGGAGGAGGAGGAGGAGGAGCTCTGGAACATCCCACAGAGTGCATATTACGCTGAGAGCATGCCGGAGATGAAGCAGCAAACTAACAGACATGATGGGAGAGTTTGTGATGGTGTGTGAGGTGGCATCCTCAACCCACGTTTTATTTTCTTTAAATGGGTCAAATCCATAAAATAAAAATTTTAATTATCATACAGCTACGATTGAAGATAAAATTATTTATATATATTTTAAACCCTGATGAGATCGATCCAAAGAAAACATTCTCGACTCATGAGATCCTTTTGTGAGCGACGTATTACACGGTTTGGGTTCATTTTGCACTGCAAGGTCATGGTTCTGCTTTATTTTCCCCTCATTATCATAAGGCATCCATCTCTTTCTTCCATTAGTGACGCTTCGCCATGTCGCCAACCCGACCTCTATTTACGTGACTAAATTAGATTGCCTGTCTTCTCCTGCATTTTACTGGGAAAAAAATAATCTCCAAATCAAAATGAGAAAATTAATCCTCTAAATATCATAATGTAGTTTGTATTAAAAGATAGATCGCACAATCTTTTTCTGAGAATATTATTATACCAATGCATTTTAAATGCGTATTGTCAGTTGGAAGTTTCAGAATCATCTATTTTACGCTATTTATGTTCATTTTATTTTAGTATTAATTGAATATGGCGGCCTCATGGCCTCTTACATATATGTAAGAAAGAAAAAAAAAGATGTCATGTTGGGAGATGATTTTTCTGGGCGGTGGGGGAGGGGCTGTCTGTACATGGTCACCTGCTCTCCAGCACCAGGGGTTCTGCAGTGTTTGATGTGTTCGGCATCCCCCTCCGCATGTCTCCTAATTGTATTGAGCATTGTGACGATGCATAATGTGCAGACAGGCAGAGGGACCTGAAAACAGTTGATGACCTCTGTCTCAACATATGTGGCACACTCACCCGCTGCACACTTTAATTGTGAGGAGATGAATGCGTGCGAATAGAAATGCGTAGATGTAGACCTGCTCTAAAGCTGTGGTATCTATCTTATTTTTTTTTAAATAAGACACAGCTTTTGCTCTTAAATAAATTTGTTAGTGAAGTTTTTAGCTGCTGTTGTGTGTGATCTGAAAAAAATCTGAATTATATGTCAACTTATTGTAAATAATGAATTTGTACAACAACAAAAAAATCTTATTTTTGTCTGCATATTCTGCCTCCATCATCTGGGATGTAGGTCAGCTCACATCTTTGTTGCCTGCAGCGATTTGCAGCTTGAATCATTTGATGTAAGGCTGTGATTTTCTTTTATTTAATACAATAATTTCTGCTCATTATTAAAATTACTTGAGGCTTTCTTATTTTTGATTTTTTTTTTTGTACTTTAACAAGAAATACTACAGATAGAAATTCAGTCCATAAAACGACGACTTTATTGAAATGTTTCAAAGAAGGAAAAAACACAAGTGTGATGCTGCTGAAAGTCAGAAATCCAAACGGATCATTTCAAATGCAGGTAAGCGTGTTGCAGCTGAAATCGAAGCTAAAGTTATAAACCAACATGCAGGAGGATGACTTTGAGTTTTTTACAAGACAAATACACAGCAGGAGTTTGATTTATTGCTTTCCATAAGTAATATCATGGCAGTATTTTTCTTTTTTGTCTTTTTTTTTACCTCATAAGGAAGTGTGTTCTCAGAGAAAACACACAGACCTTTGAAGTGTCCCACTGTCACCACATGGCAGATCCCCCCAGTGTGATCCCTCTGTCCACTTGGCTGCAGGAGTAACACTGCAATGCTGCCTATGGCTCTGTTTGCTGGGACAATATGGAAACCAGTATGTTAACCGCCCAGTGCCCAGTGGTTGTGGGTCTGTGTCCTAAAATATACATTTGCTCCTCTTCGATCTGTGCGTGCAGTCTGGTTAATCTGGATTGTGAAGCGCGTTAATCTGTGCAGCCCTGTCCTGTCGCCTACACGCTGCAGGTGAGGGTCGACTGTGGCTTCTCTCTTGGCATTCACCGCGTGCCTTAATTGTATTGAAATTAAATCAAGGTCCACTGTGAACACAAAGAGCTCAAACCCAAACTTCCAAGCATTCGCAGCTAACGCTTCCATGTTCCTCTAATCTGTCATGTACCGCACGTTGAAGTTCGCTCCTTCTTTTGCTGCATTTTTTCGCCTCTTTCCTGTTGCAAAAGTGCAAAGAAATTTCTGCCTCCGCTCAGCTGTACTTTCTCATTTCCTTTTCCTCACCTGTGATCTGTCCTCCCTGTAG